AACACTGTATAAGAACGGCTGCTTTCAGGTGCTTGCAGAGTCTGAAGCTGAAGTCTGATCAACGACATCGTCAATTCCTCTGCAGTATGGTAATGTGCATTGTTTGATTATGTATTATTGCTGTTTATTCATTTATTTTGTTCATCCTTGTTGTATGATGTATGTTGACTGAAGGTTGTTAGTATAAATTTGTTGTTTTTAGTACATTTCTTTTTGGCATTGTGAGAGATGATTCTTGCTGTTCTAAAGAAATATGAAGTGTTTCTTATAATGGACGATTTCTTTAAAAAGAGAAAACATATATTTCAATGGCTCTTAAAATATCTGGAACAGACTGGCGCTAAGCACAATTAGGAAAGATATATATATATATAATATATATAATATATATTATATATATAATATAATATATATATATATATATTATATTAGAAAAAATATAGACACCTTAGATTTAGAATTTCTCGTCTTCTTCTTAGTCCTAGTATTTTTTCTTCCCTCGTGTTGTGTATTTTAGCATTATTATGACATCAAAGATCGATTAGCAATTTATTCGTATGACCTGTACATGCGTTCTAAAACATATAAATCTATTTGGAGTATGAAATATGTAATCAGCCAAGCACCTATGTAGTTCAGAGAATTTTAGATTGACACCGTGTTGTCCTTCCATATAATGTTTTCTTTATAATGGCAAGCTTTCAAGATCAACAGAAGTCTTTCTACTTCATCTAAAAATGCTATGATTGACCGTGTTCCAAAGATCTGCATTTTACTTCAGTTCTTGACATCCTGTGTGAGAGAAATGTCTTTCTTTTTCATTTAACTTACCCCCAATACCTTTACTAAGCAGGTATTTTATATATCTTTTCATATATTTAGTCATAGCTTATCTACTCCATCTTATATTTCAATTAACTTACCACCAATACCTTTACTAAGCAGGTATTTTATATTTCTTTTCACATCCTTAGTCATAGCTATTTACTGCATCCCTTTGGAAACCCTTCATCTGCCCACATTATTCTCACGCCTCTTGTTTTAATCAAAATGTAAATCTTTTCCCCCCAATAGACTATCCGCCACGCCTTCGCTCTCCTGCTGGTCGCGGTCCTCGTGTTCGGAACGCTGGCTCTCCCTGAATCCGACCCACACTTCGGTCGGCGCTTCGGTCGGCGATACGGACGCGGCTTCGGGGGATTCGGTCGGCCCCTGTTCGGTTACGGACACGGTCTCGGCTATGGATTAGGACACGGGCACGGATACGGAGGCTATGGAGGATACGGCGGGTATGGCGGATACGGCGGGTACGGAGGTTATGGGCGTCCGTACTTACACTACGGATAAGCAGGATCGGAATAACGGACCGGAAGGGATGCGCTTCTACGAGAACGATCGGAAAGGATTCGAATTCTACAAATGTTTATAATGTTCTCTGATGCTTATTGTTTAAGAGACGGTGAGGCCAAGTTAGATGTGAGCAAATGGGTTTTGATTCTGTTGTATGAGCAAGACACTTATCAACTAAAGGTATTAATTACGTTTATGGTTTTCAAGAATTCATAAAACGGGTCTAGATTGCAAACGTAACACGGCAAAATCCGCCAGTTTTGTCACTTATGATTATCTCGGTGTCAAGGTATTCTTCCTCGGTATAAGGAATTTTTATGTTTTTTTTCAATACATTTCTTGAATAAAGTGATGATTTCAATAATGTTCTCACCTTTGCCTCTTTTGGCTGTAAATAATTTATGATAATAGTCTCAATAATGATAATGATGCATGGTGATGATGATAAGAAGGATAAGGATAATTTTAGGTAGGATAATAGTAATCGTAATAAAAGTAATGAAACTTGTAATGATAATAAAAGTAGTGAAATTAGTAATAATAATAACGATAGTAATGAAACTATTAATAATCATAAAAATAGTAATATTAATAATGATAGTAATGAAACAATAATAATCATAAAAATAGTAATAATAATAATGATGGTAATAATAATAATAATAATAATAATAATAACAAAATAATAATAATAACAATAATAATAATAATAATGAAACTAGTAATAATCATAATAATAGCAATAATAGTAGTAGTAGTAATAATAATAACAATAATAATATATAATATAATAATAATAAAATATAATAATAATAATAATAATAATAATAATAATAATAATAATAAATAATAATAATAATAATAATAATAATAATAATAATAATAATAATAATAATAATAATAATAATAATAATATAAAATAATAATAATAATAATAATAATAATAATAAATAATAATAATAATAATAATAATATATAATAATAAATAATAATAATAATAATAATAATAATAATAATAATAATAATAATAATAATAATAATAATAATAATAATAATAATAATAATAATAATAATAATAATAATAACAATTATGATAATAGTGAACATTATTATAGTATCATAATGATAATAGAAATAATATTGATAATAGTATCAATGTTGATGATAGTGAGAATATTGATATCAATATTAATGATAATGGTAATCATTATATTCATTATCAAAATAACAGTAGTAATGATAAGGATGATAATGATAATGGTAATGATATGATTATACTTATAATTAAAATCATAATAATAATTAATAACAATTATAAAAGTAATAATAATAATAATAATAAATAATAATAATTATATTATATTAGATATTATTATTATTATTATTATTATTATTATTATTATTATTATTATTATTATTATTATGATCATAATTAAAATAATATCAGTATAAAAAACAATAATAATAATGGTAGTGACGTGATAATGTTCACAATAATCCTATTCATCACAAAAACAACACTGAGATTAATGATAAAGGCCTGGCCACACCCACAGGCATAATCAGCCAATAAGGCTTTGTCAGAGGCAAGAAAACGAGGACACTACATGTTTACCTTGTAGTTTGTCCGCCTGCGACGTCATCTCAATTCATGGCCACTTGTGTACAGACTTTAAATAATGAATAATTAAGCATTGTAACAAGTCATTTTACCTAATTTGCCTGAGTATACAAATATTCAGGATTACACCTAGATATGAACATTATTATAGAGATACATTAGGTCATCAAAGCTGAAATAAATGCCAAAAGCATATTCTGTTGAAAAAGAAAACAGGACCATATTCACAGATTTTGGTAAATATCAAAAACTTGCTGCTTATTCACTGTATCTGCTTCTTTCTGCTCATAATACAAATGTATTGTATAAACCGTTAAATAGTATTTTTGACATCTGATAATATAATCACCATTGCTATGTTCCTATAACTTGGGTTTTAGGGTTGAATACCTAATACAAAAATTTATTACTGCTGTCACTATTTGCATTTTCATTTTCAGTGCATTTGTTATTATAATTCTAAATAATATTTCCTTTTATTTTTCCTGTCATACTGAAAAACTATTCTTGTCATCATTATACCTTACTTTTTTATCAAATATATTTATGACATCAGCATAGGTTACAAAAGAGCTTTTACGTTCCACAAATGGTATATTTTGACTGTAGCAACATCCCAGGACAGGAATGGAGCACTATTTGGCAACAGAAGTACAGCACAAATGAGTAAAATATATCAAAGGATTACAAAAGGGCATCTTCATAAGTAGGAAATTATCTAATTTTTTAATGGTGGGTCTGCCTGCCCACAATACAAGGTATTAAATAATATGTTTTCTTTGACAACACTAATAAATATACACGTATTGTGAAACTTTGTCTTTCATTACCACCATGACCACCTTTGCAGACTTTTCTGTGGCTAAATTTGAGACACTTGTAGCCATGTGGAATCTTATAATAATATACTGTATACTTTCTAGCTTTAATGATTTGAACACACTTGAAGCCTGTTGTTTCACTACATGGAACATTTTTGAATGAGTAACAATAACAAAAAAACATTTAAAGAGAAAATTTACAAGATATGGTATCAAGTAGACATTTTCTGCTCTTAAAGAGGAGAGACTTTAGAATTATATGAATGTTCCATGAAGTCCCTCTTTTATAAAAGATGACAAGTAAGATATGAGTGTTTGTCGAACATGATTATGGGTTAATATGAGGAAGAGATGGTGCAAAACTTTCTTTTCCCGGTGATCTGAGCTTGACTAGACGCACTCCTGCAAATAACTTAGCTCTTACATTCCTTTATAAATGATAACATTGGCAGTATTTTGATGACATAGATTACAAAGAAAAATACATGAACACAGAACAGCCAATTGATTAAACAAAACAAAAAAACAAAAATATTTTCCAATCAAAATTATAAAGCCTATTTGAAAGCATGGAATGCACCAGCACTGGTGTAAGCTCACGACAATGACTGGCAGACAAGAATATATCAGGTGAATATTTCCAAGCTTTCTATGAGTATTTACTAAACATTTTATACTGTACCATTTCACACAGATCCTTTCCAGACACACCTTTAAACTAAATACTTCTTGCCCTATAGAAATAGTCACTCTTGTGGTCTTATTTACCTGCACAAGCATCAAAACTGATGACTTCTGTACATTATTGCCTTGTCTGTGCTACAACATCAATAAATAAACACACTCAGTAATACTGCTGAGGTTCAGTGTCTATTAGTTCCTCCAAGTAGGTGCCAGCTTTACTCAATTGCAAAAAAACAGCTTTGTACAAGAAATTGTCATGATTTTAAATACAAAACAGACAAAATAATTTTTTAGAATAGAAGCATGGCCTGAGTTTCTAACAATAAATACAGTACTGCTTCACAGCATTTTCAAAATAGGAGGACAGCAAGCTACTTGTTACATCAAAATTTGGATAACCCAATATCATAAACTGTCAGAAATAATATTTCATCATGATTTCTCTACTTTTAATCTACTCTCTTTCCTAATGGCTATCTTAAATAAGTTACCATACCTGCTCTTGGATAATATATGTAACATTGTCTGTCTTTGAAAATTAATTCTCTTCAGGTAAAATAAATAATGAATGAAACTGGCACACCAAACAGGCTTACCAATTCCCCAAATCAATGACACATACACTTAAAATGTTTATATATATATATATATATTATACATTTTTTCCCCGCTATCACTGATTGCATAAGTAATAAATATAACATTTTCATCTTTAAACAAAACAATAATAATAACTTCATATATTCTCCATCAGCATCAGAATTCACCAGAAAATTAATAAATACTCGAAGATGTAACCATAGGTCTCTGTACACTGAGGTTATCTGCGACACTTTAATCAAGTGCTTCTTCGACTTCCTTCACATTGATGCCCTCCTCATGGTAGGCAGCGTCATGCTTGGCCAAAATTCGGAGGAGAGGACGCAGCTTCAGCCACCATTCATTTAAGGGAATGCGACGGTCCCAGTCTGTCTGGCGTTTGAGCTCTGCCACGGGCTGGAATCTGCAAAAGTAGCCAGTAAGATAGCAGTCACATAATGGTTATACCCAGTTAGAGTTTTAGTAAAGTAACAATTGCTTATCTGACCAGTATTCATCAACTGGAGGCATGCTACTGCCTATATGACAGGATCATGGTTATAAAAAACAACAGTCAAATACATGACCATAAATTTTAAGAAATAGCTGTGCTAAGAAAATGATCACATATCCATAAAATTTATACATCATAAATGGATCTTAAATACATAATATAAAACAACACATATGAATAATAAAAAAATAAACAGATTCTGCTTCAACAAAAAATACAATTCATAACCATTATATGTCTGCATCACACCCAATTTAATATGTGTTTGTTTACTGAACTTACTGATATACTCTCTTCTGCAGACCAAGTAATACTGCTGTCGAAGCCTCATCACAGAAAACAGATCCATCTTGGCGACGATACTTAAGCATCTCCTCAGTCATCCAGTTGACAGCCTTGGCAGCCATCTTGGTGCCCATATTACGATCAAACACAGATGGAGAGCCACCCTGTTGCATGTGACCTAAGAGGAAACAATGTTACAGTAAAATAGAGGACTTAGTTGTAAGCTGCATTTTTCCTGGTGTGAGTTTTAAAATCTGTCAAGGATGGTCTTGAATTTTTTTATATATCATTAAGGAATGTATTTTGCTTCTGATTACGGAGAGGATGAAACATACTTACCCAACACATTTTTCCTACAGCTGAAGATACCCTTTCCTTCCTCAGAATACAAACGGAAAATAAAGTCTGTGGTATAATTTTCATTGGCATTTTCATTGCGGAGAACCAGGCCACGCTGGACTCCTTCAGCCATTTTGGCTGCCATGTGATAAACGTCCAGTTGCAATTCCTGTTATGAATACAACAAATCAAAAAAACAATTCCATAGACAAAAAATATTACATTTCTCAAAATTCTGTATTTATCAAAACCTGTATTTTGATCAATCACTAAGCTAATTTATACATACCTGAATGCCAAATGATTCTTCATAGATGTAAGCAGCATCAGCTCCACCAGCTAAGCCTGCAAGTGTTGCCAAATAGCCACAATATCCACCCATGGTCTCAACAACAAACACACGACGTTTGGTACCTTGAGCCGATTGCCTGATACGGTCACAGATCTAAAGAGTGAAAAAGTTGTTAAGGTTTACCAAAATAGAAATAATATTTGAATATCAATCTCAAGCCTACATGAATACCTATAAACTAATGTGTTATCTGTATGTATATATACACATCTATTTATACCTATCCCTTATGCCATCTACATCTACAAGTATGCGTATGCACGCACGCATCCCCCCCCCCCCCCCACACATACACATATATTAATTCCATATTTTTAGCTGTATCGTCTTTCACCATTTCCTGGTTAAGAAAAAATCCCTTCCTCATCTAAACTCACCTCTCCTAATACACAAATTCTGCCACATGGTTCTTAGAGATAAAGAAAGAAAAAACTTGCCTCGACAATTTCATTGAGGGAGGTATCACATCCCAAGCTGAAGTCGCTGCCAGGAACATTGTTGCTGATGGTGGCAGGGATGACAACCATTGGGATGCAGAACTCGGGGTACTTTCCACGGGCCTCATACAGCTGGAGCAGAGCATGGTAGGCCTCGAAGCCACCCACAATCAGGATAGAGTGTATCTTATACTCCCTGGCTAGAGAGAGGGAGATGGGGGAGGGAAAATAAAATTCAAATTATATTTACCTCTTAAAAAGATTACTGAAAACCTGCCAACAACAAAAAAAAATATTATATATATATATATATAGGTCACAAAAATGTAATTTATATAGATTCCTTCTAGACTGGTTATACAAAATTCTGTAAAGGGAAAATGCTTACCTATTAAAGATAATGTAATATAAAAAAATAAACACATGAAAAATACAAAAGGCACAAGAAATAGATATAAAACATCAAGAGCTATAATCACATATAATAATATAACAAAGAAAAGAAATATACACACCTGGTCAAGGTACTTGTCAGGCAATGTGCGCTTAGTACCCAAGAAAGCACCTCCCTGGCCAACCCAGCCAGTCACTTCTGACCAGGTCATTTCCTGGATCTGTTGGGTGTAGAGACACAAATGAGAAATCCTCACTCAGCTTAGATTTTTCAGCTTAAATCTATCACTGTCAACGCATTGGATAACATAATCACAAAAGAAACATCTTGCAAAAAATAAAATCACCATGACTAAAGATAGTCCAAAAAAGCAAAGAACAATCATAAAAAAATAAATCTATCAACAGCAGATAAAAATAAATAAATAAATAAATAAAAACAGAATGACCATTCAGTGCCAGCCGTAAAAGACAAGATACTCACATTACCCTCAACCAAGCCATCAACACCATCATGAATACCATAGACGGTGTCTCCACGGTAGATGCTGTTACGTACGAAGGACCTTACGGCTGCGTTCATGCCACAGGCTGGGGCACCAATGTGCATGACACCCAAGTTGAAGCCTCCCTGTATGGCAATGAGTCCATTAGATATGAGGCTTCGGAGTTCTGGTTAAAGTTATAATCTCAGTATGTAATAGTTATGATTATATATATTTTTGTCATGATCACTAACATTTTGAATTTTTTTTTTTTTTATTAATTACCATGATATCTAATTCACTAATCAAGTGTGTGTGTGTGTGTGTGTGTGTGTGTGTGTGTGTGTGTGTGTGTGTGTGTGTGTTGTGTGTGTGTGTGTGCATTGTGTGGTGTGAGTGTGTGTGTGTGTGGGATGTGTGTCGTGTGTTGTTTGTATGTGATGAATGTGGGTGTGTGTCTGTGTGTGACTGGTGTGTGTGGTTGTTGATGAAATGTAGTTGTGTGGGTTGTGTGTGTGTACGAGCCGCGTGCAACTGCGGTGTCGTCTCCCCGACGATGCCTAGGGCAAGTGAGAAGAGCGTGATGTAGTGTGGGCGATGCAGTGCTATTGTGTGATAAGCTGCATGACAACGGATGGCATGGGTCCAAGAATGTGGCGACATATTTGAGGTACTTCATCTCTGCGAGTCGGTGCTGTGCTGCCACAAGTGCGGGAGATGGTACCTTATTGACTGATCGTCAGCGTCGGCAGCATTGCCGTGACCGACGCCAACTGAACCAGTTCTACAAGAACACTGTCTGATAGCTATGTCAGGATGAAAATCCGTCAGCGTAGCGCCTTTTTATAACATCGATGCTACCACAAGACTGACACATTACACCCCCCACATACCTACCGTCTCTCACGCTCTGTCATACAACTTATATCGACTACTCACCTACTCTCTATTTCAACACACAACCAATGTGTAAGATGTCGTACCATAAATGTTGGTGCGATGTGCACCTTCTAGTCTCTCCGCTTCCCTTGCAACATCACTCTCAATGTGATCCCACAGCACAAGTAATCTCAGCATGCACACTCACGCAGTCAACCACACAGATTGCTATATACAGCACCTCGATTAGAAGCTCGTACGTCCTTACACCTACCCTGACTACTGCATGACCACTGATACACCCACACCTGGCTAGCACTGTCGCCTCCTACTATTGTATTACATATTATCATAAAGTTCTTTAAATACTAATTATTGGTGATCTTTGACAAGATATACTCCTCAGTCACCGTTACCTCTGCCGAGATCTATCTCGTATCGTAGTCGGATACTTCAGTGTGCTCTATAATATATCTCGATAATTCACTATGATTTTTCTTTTCTTTCGTGAACCAATGTGTAGTGTGTGTGTGTAGAATGTACATCTCTGTGCTGTTTGCACCGCTGTAATCATATCTCTCTGCCTTTCTGTTACGCCCACCCACCTAGTCACTAAAGAAACACAATCGTGAAGTTAAGAAACAACTGATCAATTAGCTGTCTGCAACTATATCTTGGTGTGTGTGATGTGTGGTGTGTGTGTGTTATAGTCGACATGTGGCGCCATTGTGAGTATGCTATTGTGGGTGTGTGCTGTTATAAGTGTAATTCTACAATTGTGCATGTGTGAACTATTCATGATGTAATGTATGCATCATACATATGTACATGAAATGTATGTATGCTATGTATGTATTCTGCGTAATCGTATTGATCTGATGATCGTCATGTGCGACATGTATGTATGTATCGGTAATGTATGTATTGTATGTATGTATGTTATCGTAATGTATTACTTAGTAGCGCACAGGTAACCATAGGTAATAAGAAATATTCCAATACCAAAAAAACTCTGCATCTTAAATATAACTATGCGAGTCAAATATCTTGCAACTAAGTTTTTCATGTTAAGTAATGTGACTTTATTTCTAAAATTTGTGAAATGAACTAACTAATCCTTAATACTACCATACTATATACAAAAAACACTTCAGTCTGGTATATACACATTTCAAAAATACAATACGAATGAGGAGTGAAACATAATTCACAGTGGAAAGGCAGAAACATTAAATTAGATAAGAGACTACCTCACTACTCCATACTTGGTTCTATAACTATGCTACACATAAGCACAAATTCGGGAGATACAACATAAATCACTCCATAATCTATAGCTTTGACCGTCAATGAATACCTTTCTATTACACTAGCATTGAGCCCACAACCCAACTATCTACTACCCACTCTCATCTACTTACAAACAATAATAGAAGACGAGACAAAGTGATATATATGTAACAAAAGTACCAAATAAAAATCAAACAAGACACAACCATATAATACTACACAACAAGTAACAAATTGCTACATGAAAATAAAACAAAACACAATCAGATAACTGTTAACCACATGTTACGCAAAAGTACTAAGCATGCCCCCACGAGACTAATAGATGAAGAACAAAGACAACGATAAGAAAAAGCGAAAAATAGTGCTCAAAAACCAAAAAAAACAAAAAGTCAAATTAACCATAAAAACATATGACGAAATATAAACAAACATTATTACGTCATGATTTACAAAAATACAAGAACCCAGTACCTAAAATAATAGCGACAACAAAATAAAGTCAACACACGAAAATCAAATTGGAATAAAAAACACAGCAACAAATGAGAACTCAAAAATACCATGAGTACAGGTCACCACGTATGCAAAATAAAAAATAATAACCACATAGATGCACTAAAAATACACCACACCATAAAATATAAAAATAACTCAATTCGAATCCAATTTGCATATGAATGCGCCATCAGAAAACAAATCAAAACACGATCATCCATCATATTACAAATCCAATAACAAATAGAATCAAACTTACATAACCATCAAAATCCGAAGGAAAAAAAACTAGAACATTCACCAGATTCAAGAATCATCATCTAACCCTATTCATATAGAAAAACATTACACGTCTATAACACGTCCATTCCGACTACTCGGTAATAACTATCCAACAAGCTCACGGGTCTGACCCCACACATACTACACTAGCCCAACTACGAAGTCGATCAATACACTAAGAAACTCAGCAACAACTAGAGAAACAGTCACCTCCATATCAACCCTAATATAACCTTATCGGGATCCTAACCACAAAATTAAACAATACAAAAAACAAAATAATCAATAATCAGAAACTTTTAACTCAAATCAAAAAAAAAAATCATAGGACAGAAAGATCAAAAATAAAGAAACATCACTGATCAAGCTCTTCATTCAATTGTAACAATATAATTAACAAAAAAAACACAAAGTAACAAATAACACACACAAACCCTGCTAGACATATACTAAGTAAAAGAATAAAGTAATCGAAGAGTGAGCCCAAAAGACCAACACCCACCAATCGTACTCCGCCACATCAAGACAAAACGAGCATATACGCATCTAAAAGACAATACCCCAATATACGACAAATCAAGTGACAACTATTAAATCAAACTATCCACATAACATGTATGTTCTGAAAATCATCAACTATAACGTAGTGCAAAAGACAAACACGCAAAAGCTGCAACATATCTACATACAATAATAAAACAAAACACCAAAAATACACCAAACCTCCAGCACAATCTCACACTTCTCTACACTGCCCTAAACCATAATACCACTAATCATGATATTCCTTCCGAACCATTTCCCCAAAAAGACAGACGCAACAGAAGAATTAAGTACAATACCGTAACTCCGAACCCTATTAATCTCCAACACTCTGTAGGCTAGCTACCCGATTCACTCTCACTCAATAACAACGCATAAACTACATTTGTATCGCACATGGCACGTGCACTAAATTGCGATTAATGGACGATTCGATACCATTTTCGACAACGACAGCGCCAAGTGCAATCCCATCATAAAACTCATTAAAACTGATGAATTACCCGGTGATTGGATAACTAGTTCGACAGAGCTGACAAGCTGATGACCCCATTCATTGTGTTCACTAATAATTGGTCTACATGACTTGCTTGCGGCTTGATAATCAGACAACGTGAACTCGAAAATGACTTTATATACTTACACCGAAACAAAACTACGTCTCATTCAGCATTGCTGCACTTCAACAGCCAGGCAGCATCGCAACAAGCCACCTCTATCCTCTTAGAGAGAAAAGAAATCAGAGTATCTGAACGCTAGCCTAGCAGCCACCACACAGAATAAAAATCTTAACAAATTGCCCCTCCCCCCCAAAACAAAAAGAACTAGAAACAGAAAAAAACATTCAACAGCCTAAAAGGGCAATGGGCGCTCTTCACCACAATCCCCTCTCCATACTCATCTCACATCCTTATCCCTGACCTCTACAGATACTGATGGGTATATAAGCAAACATTAATCCTAAAGACAGATGCTCCAACACCACCATGGAAGAATACTCCATAATGATGAGTCTCCTGGAGGCAGAAAAATTACCAGAATCTTTCCATTTCAAAAAAGAGAAAGAAATCAGCTCCTTGCATCCTTTTCTAGCCGACGGAGCCTGACTAAGAGAACCATCTGCGAGAATTTCCCTCTCAAGCTCTGTGGCCGATCCCTCTTACTTATCCCCTACCTCACAGTCATGAGCACAATAGAAATACTCTACTTGGTGTCACCTCCAGTTACCTAGAATTTCCATTTACTTAACAGGCATCTTAAAATTGTGAAATGTAGCCTTTCATAGTGCGCAAATGCATGAAACAAATTCGAGTGCGTCTATGATATAACAACAAATCACATCAGCACGTCAATTTACGATTGTTCGAGTGATGACATCTTCACATCGAATTTTCGATATTCATTAGATCCAAGTTTCTTCTATATTATAACGATGACATTTAACATCTAATAAATCATAGCTTTCTATAACGATAAAACTCCTGCATTCAAAAACAATTGTTTATTCAATAATAATATATACTAACACGCATTAGTGACCACATAGCCTACAACACTCTTCAAGCTACAGCTTGCCACAATAAAACGATTATCCTCGATTAAACTTTCATACCACACTTAAATAATATGTAATAATCTCACTCATAGCTATTCA